GGGGGGTGGGCCGGTTACGGGTTGCTGCTGTTTAGCAGGTGCCGCCGCTCTTGCACAGCGGGCAGGTGCACTCGCGGTCGGCGTTGACAAAGGCGGGGACGTTGGTGTTGGCGATCATGCTGAAGACGAAGTGGGAGGATGCAATCGGCGAACGATTCGGCTGCTGGAGCTTGAGAGGCAGAGTTGCTGTGGATCGCGGTGGAGTGCGAGAAGTGGAGTGCGCGGTGCGGTGGGGGATGATGAATGGAGCTCGACCAAAGCCGGGCGCGCGGCGGGGTTTAAATACGCCGACAGGGTGCGGCGGCGGATCGCCTGGGCTGGTGGCAGCCGGCAGCCGAATCCCCAACATATCACCCTATCTGTGACCAAGCCATTTCGGAACCGCTCGCAGGGTTCCTTGTCAGCGCCGGGGGCAGCTCCAATCCCGCAGACACCGGCCTGTTTCGGGCGCGCGCACCCCCAATGGCGTCCAAAAGTGGACATATTAGATGATACCCAAGTTGGCAGCCTCGCCATATTGCGGCGGCGGGCGGCGGGCGGCATCAGCAGCTGCGCGCAAGCACGGATGGCTAAATTCTGCAGCGCGGCCGGGAATCAAAATAGAGGCGCTGGCCAGCGGCGGCACCAGCGCCAGCGCCGCCGATGCTTGCTCGCTCCTGCAGGGCTGGGCGTTTGGGGGCGCCGCGTGTGAGTCGCTGGGAGCAGCGCCGCCGGTTGGGTCGCCAGGGCCAAAAACAGCCCGCCGCGCCAAACAAACACCCGAAGCGCGGGTGGCTGAGCAGCGCAGCACTGCAGATTACTGAGTGACAATGGCTGTGTCTCGGCCAGCAGCCGACGCGTGCAGGCAATATGAACGGCGCCGTTTCTGTGTTTGCGCTGATATCACCGCTTTTGGACGTGCAGGCCGCAGACAAGCGGCCCACCCATGCGCCCGGTGATGAGTCAAAAGTGATGCGCATCGGGCTGGCGCGGCCATTTGCAGGCCGTCGCCGGGCGGCAACGACAGCCGACTGCAGCCAGACCCGAGGGGACGCCGTGGCCCGGGCACAGCAAAAAAAAGGCAAATAAAAAAGAATCCGCTCCCGGCTAGGCTTGAACTAGCAACCTCCTGATTAACAGTCAGACGCGCTAACCAATTGCGCCACGGAAG